TTTTAAGTCTACCATATCAGGCAACTGAAGTGCATCAGGAAAAAAATAGACTATATTAAGCATATGAATAGAGTCTAAAACAGTTATGGAAATTTTTACTAAGTTTGTAGATGGGACTAATTGTTAAAGGAAATTTAAATCTATTCAAGTTAAGTTAAGAATAAATGGAATTAAAAACCATTTAGTACATTTATAAATGGAATTTCAGGCTTTGAATTTAAAGGCTTGAACAAAACCAGAGATTATATTTAGAATTTTAATAAATTATATATTAATATCCAGGTAACTGAAAATAGAAGTTGTCTTTTCCACACACATTAGACATTGTATTCACAAAGATGGGGGGTTTGTGGAAGTTGTAGCTATTGTTGGATCAGAGTTAATGCGGTCTAAAGAAATCTGAGACAGAGAATAGACAACCCAGAGAAGACTGGAGGTACCATGAGGGTGCGTGGGCACTGCTAGAGGTGGTCCCTTGAAGCTGCAGTAGAGTCTACCAATTGCAGATTGGAAGACTGAAACAGCTCTTGATCGGAAGACCCTTTCATTGGAGTTTCACTTCACAGGCACTGGCATAGCCTGAAACTGCTGACCTGAAGAGTGGACTGAGGGAGAGACGGCCAACTGTTCACCAGACCTTGGTCCAGTTCATCTACATTTCCCAGCCCCCTCTGCCATTCACGTAGCCAAGTGCCTCAGCCTTAGCCAATGGAACAGGAGCATTCAGTCACACCACCTCTTGATTGGAGAATTCCCTCAAGGGCGCTATGCAGTCACTGGCATAGCTTGACACTGAAACCAATATTGCCTCCATTACCCTTTCTCCCTAGTTACTTCTAAATCTCTCCTATGGTCTTTGCATAGTTACATAGTCTCTTACCTGAAATTCTGAATTCCACAGTGTTTTTAATAAGTCCGATGACAAAATTTATTTTGTGGCAAAAACTGCTGTGAAAAGGTAAGGTTACTGATAAACTTCATCTCAAAGTAAATATTCATATATTTTGCAGAAGTATTAAGTGTGCTTGATTCTAGTATGCTGCTCCAAACCGGACTGGAGAAAAAAGGCATGTAATTCGCATATACTGCTGTATAAAATACATTCTGTATTACCTTATTAAAATCTCTAGAGTTGTGAATACTGAAACATATCTGGACTGAAGAGTGTAAGATAGGGGATTCCTGACCTGAGGAAATGTGGGGCTGGATTGTATAATGTATTGTCTTAGATTCAAGGAACATAAGTGGGCTTGGGATAATCATTTTTGAATTAGAGGGACAATCATTTTTGAATTAGAGATCCAGGCTACTTCGACCTGGTGGCTCTGTCATTTTCAACACAGTATTTCTAACTACATGACTGACTGAACCAAGCTGGAAAAGAGAGTCACAGGGTGGCATGTGGGAGATTTCACAGGCCAGGCCTGGAAGCAGGGCTCATCATTCTGCTCAGTTTCCATTAGCTCTAAGGTCTGGGTATCTGGCACCTTAACAGCTCAGGAGGCTGGGAAATGTAGTTTAGCTGTGTGTCCATGATGGGGAGGAATGAAGTATTGTCAGAGGCTGGCAGTGTCTACAACCCGTTCATCCTTCTGGAATTTTTGGTGCAAAATTCCATTTGATCTTTCTTCTCATACAGAGAATATACTCACCCCCTTCCCAAGGGCCACATCTAAGTCACACCCAGGATTTCTGGATGGTGTACAGTCTTCTCCACCTGACTTCTCTTGGAGTGACCTGGGACTGAAAAGAGACAAGTTATCTGAACACTGCCTCCTCCCCACAACCTTTGCTACCATTGCAGTGGAGCTCAATGTCTCGGTTTCCAATTTGGGAACATTATAAGCAATGCGACAATGCAACATTACATGCTGGCATCTATATACCAGTAGGCATGTTAGCTAAAGGGTTTTGTTACCTAAGAGTGAATGTAGGTTTGGTTATGGGCAACTTGACTATGTAATGACAGACTGATTTCTGTTCAGTAAATTCTCTATTTATCAATACGTCAACCTCTCTTGCAGGTTGTTTGTAAAGAAACTGCACTCACCTTACTCTTCCTCATGAATATATTAAGACTATTGGGCCCTGACTCTAGCAGGTGAATTTTAGAATCAATCTGTTTAATAAATCATAAATGCTCATTGAGGATAAATGATCAGTTTGGGGGAATTTCTGATCTAAGAACACTCTACTTATTTAGAGCCTTGTAAAAAGTCTCAATTTTCTCCACAATTTCTCTGATGGAAATAATCCTAGCATTTTATATTTTTTATTGCTATATCTGTTGCCTTTTTTTTTTTACTATAGATTTTGCATTTTGCTTGTGCATATCACTAAAATTGATTTTTTACTTTTGGAATTGTTTCCAAAACCTTATTAAGAAATAAGGGATATATTTATCTGTATATTCTTTGGGGAGGTGAGGAGAGAAGAAGTATATAGACAACTTCCCTTATGGGTAAGAGTTCTTTTTGAATTCATATGAAGTTGAATTCAAAGTTTAATGTCTCTGCGGAGACCTGCTTCCTTGGCTGTCCTGAAGATGCAGATCCTGAGGGCACTCCCCAATAAACTTTGCATTTGCAAATTCCCATGGTACAATCTGTTTCCCAGGGAAACTAGCCTGTGACAAAAGAGTTATGCAAAGTAGTCTCATAATTAAAAAAGTGTTATATAATTGAAATCATAGCAATAATGCTTAGCAATAAGCATTTGAAGTTTCCTCCATTTCTTTTCATGACTTGACAGCTTCTTTATATTTTCTTAAGCCCATTTCTTTTATCACTGAAAAACATTTCATTGTATGAATGAATCATGGTTGATTCATTCACCTGTGGCTGAAGGGCATCTTGATTGCTTCTAAGTTTTGACAGTTATGAATAAAGGTGCTATGAACATTCATAGTCAGGGGTTTGTGTGGACAAGCTTTCAGCTCCTTTGAGTAAATACATCAATCTGTCTTGAACCAAAACCCATCTTGTTTGTAAGTCTAAGGAGCATGATTGCTGAATTGTGGGTAAGAGTATGTCTAATTTTGAAAGGCACTTCCAAATTGTCTTCCAAAACAGCTGCACCATTTTGCATTCCCACCAGCAATGAATGAGAGTTTCTGTTGCTCTACAGCCTCACTAGCATTTGACACTCAGAATTTTGGATTTCAGCCCTTCTAATATGTGTATGGTTGAGTCTTATTGTTTTAATTTGCATTTCCTTAACAACATGCCATTGAGCATTTTTTCATATGCTTACTTTCCATTTGCATATATTCTTTGTTGGGGAGTTGGTTCAGATCTTTTGCCCACTTTAAAATTGGTTTGTTTTCTTATTATTGAGGCTTAAGAGTTCAGTGTATATTACCAGTCTTTTACCAGATATGTGTTTGCAAATATTTTCTTCCAGTCTTGTCTCATTTTTTGGAAATACTTTTTAGAATAATACTTTTTAGAATTCATCAATGTATTAGAGGTCTCAAAGGGAACAGACTGTTTAGGGTGCTCTTAACGGCAGGAAATGTATGTGTGTGTGTGGTGGTGGTGGGGTGGACAGGATTTAAAGGTAATGTAGGTATCAGGGTAAATGCCTAGAAACAGTGTTATAAGGAATTGGGAACTGGCAGAAGGACTTGTGCTCAAAACATACCTGTTGAATTATTGAGTTAAAATAAGACTGGCAGGGCACTGGACATGACTCACTGGATGAGTAGTGAGTCACAGCCTAACGTCACAGGAGTTGGAGATGGAGACCTTTTAGGGATATGTGAGGTATCAGGCCAAAGTTACAGCAACTCATAGGTGGTGAATATAACTAACCAGGGACAACTGTGAGTCAAAGGCAGGTTTCATGCCTTTAGCTAATGTTTATCCCATAAAACAAACAAGCTTATAAATTTTGCTTAAACTATCAAACACATTTGAGAAAACTCAAACCTACTGAATTTATCCATATTTTTGATTACTGTATTCTTGCTACTTTCATGATGTTCCAAGGTTTTTTATTTTATTGTTTCCTTTCTGCTCCGGAAACTCTAGCTGGCCATTAACTTATGGAAGATCTGCTAGACTCTTACTTTCTCTTCATCAAGAATGTCTTGATTTTCTCTTCATTCCTGAAGGCGGCCTTCATTGGGTGTGGGGTGGAATAATGTGGCCCCCAAAGGTCCATGTTATGATCTCTAGAACCTGTGACTATTTTAGGCAAAGGAGAACTAAAGTTGCTAATTAGCTGACCTTAAAATAGAAAGGTTATTCTGTATCTTCGAAGTGAACTCTATGTAATCACAAAGGTCTTTATTAATTGGAAGAGGGAGGCAGTCAGGTGAGGACCAGAGGAACAGTGGTGTAAGAAGAACTTGACCCAACAATGCTGGGTGCAGAATCTGGAAAGAAAAGGAAACAGATTCCCTCTAGAGCCTCTAGAAGGAATCAGGCTCTGCTGATACCTGCATTTTAGCCTGGTAAGAACCATTTCAGACTTGTGTCCTCCAGAATTTTAAGAACAGAAATTGGGTTGTTTTAATCCACACATTTGTGATCATTCATTAAAGCAGCAATAGAAAACTAGTATTATTACAGGGTTAACATATCCTAATACTATGGAGTTAGAAATTTTGTGCCCAGAACTAGGTTGGTAGTGCTGGATCCACTTGGGTATATTTAGATATGACTCTGAACGTTTTGAAAACAAATTGAGATTTATTTGTGTCTATTTAGATAAGCCAAGATTGCTGAGTCTCCTGACACATACAGCTCTTTTCCAATGTCATGTCTCTGCCAATGATGGCTACTGGGACTGAAAGGAGATGGAAATGTGAACAAATCCTTCCAAATGAACATGTGTTAAGACTGTACCTTCAGGGACTCCCCGGTGGCGCAGCGGTTGAGCGCTGGGTTGCGAAGCTGCCTGCGGCCTCTGCGGTGCTGGTTGGATCCCCGGCTGCTCCCTGGCCACCAGAGGAGGGTCCCACATGGCGCGCAGACCTCTCCTGCCGCCCGCTGCTCCCCTCAGCAGTGTACTTCGGTCCTTCTGCCTGCTCTGCTCCCTGCTCTGGCTCTGGTGAATTCTCTCGCCCTCCCGCGCTTCTGACTGTGCCCAGTGCATGTATGGACAAAAAACAAACAAAAAAACACATAAATAAATAAAATAAAACATGCCTCTATAAAAAAAAATAAAAAAAAAAGACTGTACCTTCACTGGCAATTTCCAGAGCATGGACTTCCCATTGCAATGCAATGTAACTGTCATTAAAAAACAAAAGAATCAAATCAGATGAGATGGTTCCTTCTTTTCCTCTTCCCCAATGTAAAGGAATAGAGAACTCAATACTTAACAAAGTTTACTCAAGACCAGTTGAGAAAGAAATAAGCTGCATCTAAATGAGATAAGAAAACTAGGTAAAATTCTGACTTGTGAGTTGGGTAAAACTATTAGTCAAAGGAACTGGGCTTAACCAATCTGTGACAAAGCAAATAGAACTCATCTTTTGAAAGGGGTTGCGAGTGTTCACTTGTGATTCAGACAGCACTGTCTTGGGAATAAGTAGCTCCCAAGTCTTGTGTTTTGGTCTCAAAACTCTAACCTTCATCTGTACTGTGATTCCAAAATTTTTTTTAACTGGAGTCATAAATTTATTGTGTCTAAAGTAATCAGAAACAATAAGTAGACATTAAAGTAGAATATGAGCTACTTTATTGGGTGGGGTGCAAGTCATATTAATTTTTATTGGGCACTGGAATTGAATGAACACACTCTATGAATGGCATAACAGAAGACCTGAGAATGAATACAATAAATCTTGTTTATTAGGGCTCTAGATCTTCTTTATTTACCTGCATCTACTAACTACCTATCAATTTAAAGCAGTGAATAAAAATGCACTAGGCTTCACCATGTGATTCCAAATTTAACCCAGTAATCTTGACCTACCCAGGCCAATCAATTTGCTTTTCAGAGGTGTGTAAAATGGCTTCATGAGTTACATGTTTGATGTTTGAGAGAATCTGATGTATCTTCTTCAATTTAGGAAGTAATGTTTTAGACTTGTGATTTTAGGAAGCCTAGAAAAATTTGCTGAAAGTTTATAAGTTTGATTTATTAGATTTACAGAACTGAATTAGATATAAGAAAGATTTTACCTGATAGGGTTGTTTGTGAGGCACTTCAGATGCTTTAAAATATAAATATTAACTGCATTGTAGTTTAAAATTATTTAAAACAATTTATTTTTAATTTAAATTATTTTTTGTCTTGCTAATTAAAAAATTATTTAGGTAACATTGGCTTACAATGCTGCACTTATTTTTAAAAAGGGAAAGTAAAGCATAATGTTTAAGAGCATGAACTCTGGAGCCAGACTGTATAGGACAAAGGTAAGCTAACTATGGTCTGCTTCCTCTCTTTGTATAGTCAGCAAGTTAAGAATGGCTTTAACATTTGCAAATGGTTGAAAAAAATCAAAAGAATAGTATTTTGTGACATGTGACAGTGATATAAGATTCAAATTTCAGTGTCTATAAAAAGTTTTATTGGCACATAGAGATGCTCATTTGTTTATGTATTGTCTGTGATAGCTTTCACGATATAGGAGTAGAGCTGAGTAGTTGTGTCAGAGATTGTCTGGTCTGCAAAGACAAAAATATTTTACTTCGGTTCTTTACACATAAAGTTCCATGCAGGTGCGGTGGCACACACCTGTGATCCCAACTAATCAGGAAGCTACGGCATGGGATCACTTGATCACAGGAGTTTTGGGCTATAGTGTGCTATGTGATGGGGTATTCCTGCACTAAGTCCAGCATCAATATGGTGACTTCCAGGGAATGGGGGACCACTAGGTGGCCCAAGGAGGGGAGAAGTGGCCCAGGTCGGAAACAGAGCTGGTCAAAGTTTTATGATGCTGGGGTAGGTTCCAATCACAGCTTTGCTATTTATTAGTAGAAAACTGGGTAAGTCATTTACCCCCTCTGAGCCTGAGATAATAAAAGTTATTAAGTTATTATGAAGGTTAAATACATCAGTATTTGAGAAGTGCTAAAAACAATGATTGGCATATAATACATACAGTTTAAGTGTCTAAAACTTGGAGGAATTTAACTCATTAAATTCAAATTAATCAAATATTAATGAAAGAATACATGAAAATGATGAATTTATTTTATAATAATAACTTTTGTGAACAGAATAAATGAAGTTGAATTTGGATTAACAAAATCTAGGATTTTAAATCAAGAACTTCAATCAACTAAGTACCCCAGTAATTCTATTAGTCCCTTCTTAGCCCCAGAGTCTGGCTTGGACTTGTGGGTCAGAAAATGGTGAAGAATTCTATGGCTTAGGAGACCAAAGCTTTCCAGCACTTACAAGCAAGGCATCTCTAATACTGGGAGGAAATGCTGTATAATGTGTAGGTATTTGGAATTCTGTCTGGATTGATTTTCTAGCTGTGTGATTATGGATAACTCTTATCTATAGTGGGGTTAGTAATACCTATTTCACAGGGGTATTATGAAGACTAAAGGCACTAAAGCACATAAAGTGCTTAGTACAATGCCTGGATTTTAGGAAGCATTGGCTAAACATCAGCTATCATTATTATCTTTCTCCCACAAGCTGGGCACATAGGGAGTTACTGCTAATCAGTTTTAAATTCCTAGCAGAACAGAAGGTTATGCATGTGATGTTTTGGGCTGTAGTGTGCTATGCTGATGGGGTGTCCCTGCACTAAGTCCAGCATCAATATGGTGACTTGATGTCAGAGCAATTCTGGGAAAAGTCCCTGTTGCTTTGATTTTTGGAAATTCTACCATAGCCTAGGCTTTCAGTTAAACATTGTTCTCTCCAGGGATCCTCTTGTTTAAAGTATGCACTTTCCAGGCATCGTTTTCCCTTTGGCATGGTTTAACTTATTAAGTAAGAAGTATTCTCATTACAGTGGCAGTCTGAGAACAGTGAACATGCAAAGGTTGGGATTTGTGTATCTCAGGGGAAAAGGAGGTATGGGGTCAGGGCCTCTGAAAGAAAGTGAAAAGTAAGTGAAAAGAACATTTGCAGAATCTTCAAGTCTGTTTGCTGTTCTGCTCCTTGAGATGACAAAGTAGCTGCCCTACCTTTCCAGGTATGAGTTTATTTATAGTCAAGCCCCTCAGGTCCCTGAGACCTCAACCTTTGAATCTGCAAGACAGCCAGGAAACGAGCCTGGGCCAGGGCGCCACCTGCTGTCTACCTGCCACCTCTCCTGTATCCTGAGATGGGATGACATGTCGCTCCTTTTGGCTCTCAGCCCTCATAGCTTATCTACTAGCAACTCCAAGTACCTCCTGCCCATCTTCATGACACCAAAAGTCCCTTGTTCTCAGAGCCAGGTGAGAGATCACGTTTTGTTTTCAGTGACCTTGAGGCTTGACACCAGAGCCAATTCTCTGGCAGATGGAGCGCTGGAGGCTTATTCCGTGATTAAATATCGTTTCTTGCAGCATGTATGTGCGTTCTTAGTCTGGAGCAGCAGGGATAAGGCCACCCACCACGGTGACCTTGGTCAGTGGAGAGAGAAAGATGAGAGGGGAGTGACTCATTCTGTACCTTCCCCATATATACCAGCTTGAGGTCTCACGATGCGTTGGACTTTATTTTAGTCTCCGGAATTTGTCATCATACAGTGTCCCTCCTCTCTCCCGTCTCCCCCACCCCCCGCCCGCCCCTCCATTGCGTAGAGGTGGCAAAGAGATTGGGGGCAGGCCTCTGTCTCCATGGAGACTGTGACGCTGCCCAGCTGGGGCAATTTGGAAGAGGAAAGGTCGGAAGGCTGGCGAAGGCGGCGGATTTGACACCCGAACTCCCGTGTTAGGGTCTTTTTCTTACCTGCCTGGGCGTTTAGGAAGATTAGTCCTTATTTTAGGCGAGAAACTGAGGCCCAGGAAGGGCATAGAATCCCCTTGGGTCGCAACGCGCCCTCCGGGAAGAGACGAGATGAGCTGAGCCCAAGATCTCGTACCCGTAGCTTTCCCCCAAATCTCAGGAAGAAATCTCTCCTCGCGCCATTCTTTGAGGTTTCCAAATAACAAATCCTAGCGTCCGCCATCCTTTGGAGCAGTCCCGGAGTCCACGCTCCAGGACTTCCCCTTTAAGACGGCTCTTCCCCTTTAATAAGATAGCAGCTCCTTCCGGCTCGCCGCGTCGCCGTCTTAAGGCCTCATCTTTTGAAACAGCTTCGCCAGGATACAGCCGTAGCGAGGCGGTGCAGGCCCCTTTAAGCCGGAGCCCCGCCCCTGACTCCCTTCCCTCCCCTCCCTTTCCCCTCCCCCTCCCTTTCTCCTACCCTCCTGGGCGATCCAGGTGCCCCGGCTGGTGGTGCGGCGCGGCGCGCGGCGGTGAGCACCAGGCTCCGGGGGCCCGGGGACACGACCCCAGGCTGCCCCCCTGCCCTTGCGGTGTCCTCGGGAGTCCCGGGGGCGGAGGAGAAGGGGTGGTCGGGAGCGCGGGAGACGGACCGGGACCGGCCGAGCGGGCTGGGCTCAGGTGACTTACGGAGAGGGAATGACCCCCGACGATGCACCCCGACGACGGGGCCGTGGGGTCTGGGCTTACGGCCTGGCGGCGGCCCCACTCCCCCTCGCTCGGCCCTCGCCCCGCTACTGCCCTTGCGGAATTGTTCACCATCGTCCCCAGGGGTCCAGGCCCTTCTGTGGGGTCGGCTGCCAGCCTGTCCCGCCACCCGAGACCGCAGTCGTGGAGGCCGCGGGAGGCCCAGGCCGAAAGTGGTCGCCTTTGCGCGGGTCGGGGGGCGGGGGGTGGCTTTGGAAACTGGGGGACGCGGCAGGAGGGCGCCGGGCCCCTCATGCCGTCCAGCAGAGGTGGAGGGTGGCCTGTGGCTAATTACCTGGGGCAGCAGGTACGGGCTGAGTTGTGGAAGGGTCTGGCTCCCGGACCTCAGTTTCAAACCTTTGCCCATCAGAGAGCTGGCGGTCACCATGGCAATGCGGGAGCTGGTGGAGGCCGAATGCGGGGGTGCCAATCCGCTCATGAAGCTGGCGGGGCACTTCACCCAGGACAAGGCCCTTCGACAGGAGGGGTTGAGGCCAGGCCCTTGGCCTCCAGGAACCCCAGCCTCGGAGGCGGTAAGTGTCCTCGAGGTGGAAAGCCTGGGGTGGAGGGTCCAGATGGACACTTTGGGATAACTGTCTTGTCATTGTTGCAAAAATAAAATGAGTGTTTACTTAATGAGTGTTTACTAAACATTATGCTAAGTACTGCACGTCTTTATGTAGATGAAGGGAACCATTTTATAGATGAAAAAACTAAGGCTCAGGGAAGTTTTGTGACTTGCCCAAGGTCATATGAATGGTAGAGCTGAAACTCTAACCCCTGTTTAACTGAGTTGCATTATCTGTGGTCTTCCTCATTGAGCCACATTGCCTGTCTTCTGTCTTTTCTGTATTAGGTCTCTAAGCCTTTGGGAGTCGCCTCTGAAGATGAGGTAAATATGCTAATGTATATTTCCATTGCATTTTCCTGTGACCCATTGTGTTTTTATTTTAAACTTGACTAACCCGTATTTCAATTGTTGGACTTTTCCTGACCAATGAGAGTTGCTCTAGCTGTTCAGATTGTTGTTTTAATATGTACTCTTTCAGTGCTTCCGAATCTGTAGTTTCTGTTTCCCTTGTAATTGACATTAGTATGCCCCTTCTAATGGGTCTTGTCTCTTGCTGAGTTCATTTTGCCATTTCTCTTCTGACAGTTGGTGGCTGAATTCCTCCAGGACCAGAATGCACCCCTTGTGTCCCGTGCCCCTCAGACCTTCAAAATGGATGATCTTTTGGCAGAGATGCAGGAGATTGAACAGTCAAACTTCCGCCAGGCACCCCAGAGAGGTGGGTCTGGTGGGAGTGGAGATCACTGTGTTCTGTATAGATAGGCCCGCATGGATGGTGCTGGCTTTGGGGAACTGAAAATCAGGTGAACACAAAGGAAACAGCTTTCATGCGCTCTCAGGGTACCTTAGGTGGGATGAATGAAATGTATTTCTTGTCTTTCATAGTTCTTTCTCTTTCTTAAGCCCCTGGCGTGGCAGACTTGGCTTTGTCTGAGAACTGGGCCCAGGAGTTTCTTGCAGCTGGTGATGCGGTGGATGTAACTCAGGATTATAATGAGACAGACTGGTCCCAAGAATTCATCTCTGAAGTTACAGGTGAGGCTTGTCATGGGGAAATTTAGAATGGTTCCTATGGGGCAGTCCCAGTTCTTTACTGTTCCTCCACTACATCTTAGGATATGGAGTGATTTTAGCTGCTTATAACTTTTCATTTCTATAGGTCATGAACAGTCATGAACCTGATTTCCCTTAGGAGGTAATAGGGAATTGAAGTTTATATTAAACAGAGGACTGAGTTTGAATTGGAGAAGAGATTTTGGAATATCAGAGAGAGAGGCGAGAACATGAGAAGTTAGGTGTACTTTTTGTTTTGTAGAATTTAATCACTATAGTTTGGTGGAGAGAATCCACAGATTGGCTTGAAGGCAGTGTTGATCAGGAAGAGAGAACTGTTCAGCCTGGCCCGTGGGATTCTGGCATTATGTCATCTTGAACAGAGATGGGGCCTTGGAGGTGCAGTTGTGAATTTCAGGGGCCTGAAGTATAACCTTGGGGGCAAACACTGTACCCTGGTGATAATAATAAAAGTTAATAATAGCTAATGTTTAGTTACTGTGTTCCAGATTTTGTATTAAGAATCTTAAATGCATTGTATGTTTAATCCCCAGATCGAGGTAGTAATTGTTTTTATCCCCAGTTTATAGATAAGAAAACTGAAGCTTGGAGGTTAAGTCACTTCTCCAAGGTGATACAGCTGTGTAAATGTTGAAGTTGGGGTCTCAGTGTGGGTTGGAAGGTTCCAGACCCTGTGGGCTTAGCCATGCACTTTACTAGCCAGGCCTGCATCTAAAACTTTGCAGCATCCCAGCCTAATTTTCCCTCTTTCAGCTCATTCTTGCTCACTGCACCCTGTGGGATTCAACTTTTACCCCTTAGCCTCTCTGATAAGGGGCTTGGAGAAAGGTATTCTCTTCAGTGCTCCTCTTCCTTTTTTCCTTTTTTTGGGCCCCTTTGTAGCAGTTGCTGCAAAAGGCATTGTTAAGACAATTGATTACTGCTTAATACAGGCTGTGAATTTGATAATAGTGTTGAATCAATATTAAAATTTCAGATTTTGATAATTGCTCTGGTTATGCAAGATTGTATATATATGTATATATATATATACACACAGACACACATACATATACATATATACACATCTGTGTGGGTGGAGTGGGGAGAGAGAACCAACTTTCTTCCTAATTGCTTTCAAAGAGGATTGTTGCTAGTCTTTTTCCAATTTGAGAATATGGGAATAAGAAGAGATAAAAATTAAGGAAGTTACAAGAATTCTAGACTCTTATTGTGCTCATATCACATAGTTCCTGAATTTTCTTGACATGATTAAGGGAACTAATTGGTTTCTCATCCCATCATTTTTATTCTAAAAATTGGGCTTCCTCCTCTCACTGGAGAAAACCTGAAGTCCAACAGCAAAGACTCACTTTATATAATTAAAGGTACTGGTCTTTTATCATGACTCCCATCCTACCTGGAGTTAAGGTTGAACAGTAGATGTTCTTGGTTTTATTAATAGTGGTGTTCTTAAACCCTTGTGGTTGTCAGAGTAACATGAGATCGATATTCCTCCCTGTTTCATAGATAAGGCATCTGAGACTTGGAAAGGTTAAACACTTTGCCCAAAATCATTAACAGAGATGACATTCAGACTCATATCTGTCTGACTCTAGACTCCATACTTAGCACCATTACATTGTCACTGAAGATGATCTTTGTGGAATCACCTCGAATGAAAAATCTGAATTATAACAAAGACTCTCCATCAGAACAAGGCTCAATTTTCATACAAACCTTAGATTTAAATGCTGTCTCTTATCATGGAGAGGCTTCTGTTATAATGTGGGCCTCAGTCATTTTTGATAATTCAAAAAAAAAATCATTTCTTTATGAGCATTGAGATTTGATGAGATTTTTGTTTTAGTTACCTGAATTGCTTGCAGCTTAGGGAAATCTTCCTTACCCTGAAAAATAACTTTAATAAAGTGTGTTTGACCTTATGTGTTAAATCCTTTTTGGAGTCTCTTTCTGCTTTTGTTTTGAACATCCTTTTGGAACTATGCCTGGAAAGCTGGGAATGAAAGTTGGACTGTTTGGAGTCTGCCTTCGTAAAACTGTTAGCCTGCAGGAGTATGTCGCTTTATATGTAGTGAACTTTCAGTATTTATTGAATGAATGAGTAGAGATCTGGGAGAAAGACCTAAAGGGAATTGATTTTCTAGTAACTCATTTTTTTTTATTAACCTCAGCATTTATGGCTGGTTTTATTGCTGATAGTGGTTACTGTGGATTAATAGAATTTAAGATGAGAGAAGTTTATATTCAAATCCTTATTATTTTATATCCTCATTGTTAGAATTCTAGAATCACGTTTAAAAGGAACTTAGAAGCTCAGTTTTTTTTTGTTGTTGTTGTAATGTTTTATTTGGAAATAATTCATGTTTCACTGGAAGTTGCAAAAAAAATACAGGCAGGTTCTGTGTGTTCTTCACCCCACCCCGCCCCCATCATTTTATAACAACATTTTGTGTGACCTTTTGTTATGTGTGATATGAGAATCAGAAATTGCCATTGGTGCAATCCAGAGAGCTTTCTAGATTTCACAGTTTTACAAATCCCCATTAGTGTGTGTATTTAGTTTTATGTTCATTTATCACATGTGTAGATTTGTGTAACTGTCACCACAGTCAAGGTAGAGATGGAATCTGCACCCCCTCACACCAACCCCAAATCTCCTGGGCTCAATCCTTGTCAGTCTTGCAGATTGCTCAGCTCTAAGGATAGAACTCATCATTCAGGGGATTTGAATTTAGACAGCCTTGGCTAACGTGATGTGAGGCTCATGCAGTAATCATGAGGGAGAAACCTGGCTTCCATAGGAAGAGCATAGGAAGAGCAGCTGTCAGCAGAAGCTGAAGGTGATTGGCAATAGAGCTCCCCCGGTGACAGAGAAAGAGGCTGTGGAGTA